TGCATATCAACATTTATTTCTCACCAGAAACATGCAGGGAGAAGCTGATTTCATACAGCATGCAAAGTGTGTTTAAGTATCTGTCATCACGTAGCCTGTCCTATGCGACTTTGTTAAAGTACCCATTGAAATTTTAAAGATTTATACATATCAAGGCCAGAAGGGACCATTTCAACAATTTAATTTGAGCTAGGATCTTTAAAAGTGGCTAAATAAATTAGATATAGTCAAATTACATTTGAAAAGAACATCCTAAGGTGCCCTTCAGAAACATATCTTTAAAGCTTTCAAGACATAAAAATCTATCATACCCTTTAAGAGGGATTTCTCTGACTAATTGTGTACCATGTGAACAACTGCTATGGTGCCTCAGCCAAATCTAGTGCAGAGATATATCGACTAAACAGCAGCTAAAACTTTTAAAACAATGGTATATTAATAGTTTAAGGACTAGATGAGCTTTCCAGTCAAGAAGCTATCCCTACCTGCAAAACTAACTACTGTTTCTGGTAACTTTTGCAAAGCACCCAAGCTTTGCTTTGCTGGTTTATGACATCCCAGGAATGTCAGAGTGGAATTGTAGACACATTTTTTTTGCAGTTACCTATTATTTAACCCATATGTAATACAGAGGCTGCCATGTGTTTCTGCTGGGTCCCAGGTGCCTGTGGGATCTTAAAATAAAAATATTGAGGCTCACTAGTGAGGGATATGACTAGCAGTATGTCTGTACTTTAAGTTCAGTATAAAAGCTGAGAAGTATTCTGTAGAGATTTTGTCGTCTTTGATCATTACCAAGGTCTGGTCAGGAATCGTGAGAAATATTCACGGGACTTAACAGCAACCAGAATAGATCAAATGAGAGACAGAAGTCCAGAATAGCAAGAAATCCTCATAGAATTGCTCATTTAGTTGAATTACGTAAGCAAATATCTTATTTGTTATTTATAGTCTCTAATTTTTCATGAACAATGTTACTTTGGTGCTTGTGATACTCTATACTGAGGAAATGGAAATATATTGTAATACTAAGTACTTACACGGGAGAGTAATTATGATTTTATTGGAAAAAAATCTTTATTTTGTGGGAAAGTGTAGCAGTTAACTTCTACCAGAGAAGTCCTGCTGTAAGTAAGTATTGCATAGCCAGGGGGAGTCTTTCCGCCTCTCTTCTCAGCTTACTCATATAAAATAAAAGATCCAAAGCGTACTTGAAAAAGTTTATCTATCTATACAGTGCACAAAGCTTAACTAATTAACATATACTAAGTCTTTTAAGAAACAGAAATGAAAATGACTGCTTAAGGAACAAAGGAATATCAGGAGAGTGGGAACAGCCCAAGTTGGCCATTCTCCTCAAATCCCGTGTGGACTGTCCTGAGCTACAAACCTGCTGAGCCTAGATGGGCATGACTGACAGTGTCAGTATAAGGAATCCCTCTGAAGGAGTGAAAACGACAGTAAATTACCTCTTATAATTATGAGAGGAAATCTCGGAGGTCATAGCGGAGGTTAGCAGTGGGGCAGAGCTGGGGTTATACTTGCGCTGCAGCTGCTGCAGTGCACCTGGCCTATTAGTGAGGACTCGTATTTTCAGCACTGACTCCCTCTGGAGATCAATAATTAAAAAAAAGTTTTTTATAAAGACCTCAGTGTAGAAGTACAGACTGTCATGTAGAAATTTCTGAACCATCACAAGTGAAGAGTATCTAATATCGTAGCAGTGGTACACACCGAAAGCAATATTAAATCAAGCATGGTTTGTATGCCACTTTATTTGCCCTCTGTTTCTCTTGTTTCTTCTAATGAGAGTCTGTTGAGTTATTTTTATGGCTTTTGTATTTCACGCTCCCAAGGTACTGACAATGGCTTTAAGGAATAAATGAGGGAGTAATAATAAATTTCTTAAATGATCTGTAATCTTTATCTGCAATTACAGTTAAAGCAGTTATATTAAATATTTTGTTTGTAATGCATTGTTTCATGGCAAGAATAGGTAGCTGTAAATATTTCTATCATGACCTGAACACATCAAGATATATATTCCAACTTTCTTGTAGACTACCAAAACTGGACCCACATTACATATGACCTATGCATATTTTTTGTTGTTGTTGTTTCTCACCTACACCTGTAGAGAACTCTAAAAATTAAAAAACAAGAAAGCAAAACCACCTCCAACAACCCATATACGTGAAAAGTGTTTATAAAAACAAATGTTTATGAAAATGTTTATGAAACATTTATGAAACAAATGTTTGTGAAAACAAACATTTTGCCATACTACTGTGGACTGTTCACCGGATAACAAACTGGTTGGATGGTCACATCCAGAGGGTAGTGATCAAGGGCTTGAGACCTGTACTGTTTAATATCTTAATCAATGACATAGACAGTGGGATCGAGTGCACCCTCAGCAAGTTTGCAGATGATACCAAGCTGAGTGGTACAGTTGACATGTCTGAGGGATGGGATGCCATCCAGAGGGACCTGGACAAGCTTGAGGAGTGGGCCTGTGTGAACCTCATTAACTTCAACAAGGTCAAGTGCAAGGTCCTGCACCTAGGTCGGGGCAACCCCAGGTATCAGTACAGGCTGTGGGATGATGTGGTTGAGAACAGCCCCATGGAGAAGGACTTGGGGGTACCGGTAGATGGAAAGCTGGACAAGGCCCAGCAATGTGCCCTTGTAACTCAGAAAGCCAACAGTACCCTGGGCTGCATCAAAAGCAGCTTGATCAGCAGCTCGATGGAGGGGATTCTGCCCCTCTACTCTGCCCTGTCGAGACCCCCCTGCAGTACTGCCTTCAGCTCTGGGGTGCTCAGCACAAGAGGGACATGGACCTGTTGGAGAGAGTCCAGAGGAGGCCACAAAGATGATCTGAGGGCTGGAGCACCTCTCCTGTGAGGACAGGCTGAGAGAGTTGGGGTTTTTCAGCCTGGAGAAGAGGAGGCTCCAGGGAGACCTTCTAGCAGCCTTCCAGTACTTAAAGGAGGCTTATAAGAAAGATGGGGAGGGACTTTTTAGCAAGACCTGTTGCAACAGGACAAGGGGCAATGGTTTTGAACTAAAGGAAGGTAGATTTAGACTAGATGTAAGAAAGAAATTTTTCACAATGAGGGTGGTGAAACACGGGAACAGGTTGCCCAGGGAGGTTGAAGATGTCCCTGCTCATTGCAGAGGTTGGACTGGATGACCCTTAAAGGTCCCTTCCAACCCAAAGCACTCTATGATTCTATGATTCTATACTGTTATCCCCAGTTTGGGCTGTGCTGTGTCCTGAGCTCTGTGCTCCTGTTCTGCCTTATTCTTTTCCACCAGCTCATGGGAGTGCTGCTTCTAATGCACAGGACCATAGCAGGCAGCTAATGTGCTACTGCACTGCACTGGAGCGTGGTATGGGCCTCACCCTTCACTCATGATCAGCAGGTGTAGCTGTCCTAATATCACAGGAGGCAAAAGAATAAAGGGGAATAAAATAGTTACAGTATAAATAGTTCTCTCAAGCTTACCACCTTCAGAGGATGGGGACCTGAACTTCCAGCTCATTCCAGAATAGTAGTGTCTCTATTTACAATGAATGGATTGGAACCAGACTAGTGCAATGTATATCTTTCTTACTATTGTGAAATTCTAAAAATAATTATTAAAAAATAAAAGAGTATACTTTCATTGTAGGTGCTGAATCTCTTATTAATTTTCTAGGTTTCAACCCCAGCTATAAAAAAACCCTACTTAATATAATATGATAATACTTTGCATAAGATCAAACTGCAAGTTTAGTTAATTTGGTCAGACATTTAACACTAGTCTTTTTTTTATTTTAACCTTGAATATTAGATATTCTAGTCCTCACCTTGCAAAGTCCTAATGAAAATTATTTGTGAACATGAAGGTGGATTAATTTAAATGTATTATTTCTATGTAATGAGATAACCCAAGTATCTGGCACTTTAGCTGTCCCTTCACATATATAGCTTAGCCCATATTTCTCAATTTTCACCGAGTCCACCTCTACAGTTCCCAAATGGCTTTTTATGAAGACAACTGTCCTCTATGGTCTAGGTAAGGACTGATGAAACTATTTTTATTATGACCTAGGAAATTATTCAAAGGGAGCTCTCTAGAGGCATATGGTTGGCATTATGAATATTTTACAGAATCATCTCTGAAAATCAGGCCAATAGCATATACACATGGGGACAAGTTCCACTCTCAGTAATACCTTGGCAACCACAATGATTTCCCATTTGGCTATGCGATGCAAGTATTTGTTTGGCTTATTGCATGCATGTATTTTTAATCTTTTTTTCCCTTCTTCAGCGCTGTCTTCCCATTTCTCATATTGTTCTTATAAATAAGATAGTTATTATCAGTGTGGAATGATTATTATTTGGGGTTACTGCCTATGTCTCTCCTACCTCATAAACACAGGGAATAAGATATACACAGGAATGAGAGAAAACGTACAGAAAACTATGGCTAGTGTAACAGTGTCTTTCCTGAGGCATCAAAACTGATGCAGGATGTTAAAACCACTTTGACCTCAATCTTGCTCTGAACTCCATGCAGGAAAGAGGTCAGGGAAACTCACTGACTCCAGTGAGATGCCACAAAGAGAAAGCACTTTGGAACCCACTGTAGGACTGGGACCTGGAGTAGGGCAAAAACAGGACAAAATATTATGTACCCAAGTATACAAGGGAGGAGAAACAAGAAGGATGTTTCTCCTCCCTTCTCTTTCTTGTTGATCTTTTTTTGGGGGTAGATAAATTCTATTTCATTTGCGTGAATTTCCATTTATAAATTTAAACCCTTGGCCATGAAGACAAAATTTCATTAATTTGAATAAGAAGGGTTAGATAACTCAAGACTGAAGTCTTGAGATCAAATGCGTGACCTTACAGAGGAGGAAAAATAAGAGTTAACACAATAAGACATAATAAAATATTTACAATGTTTTATGAAAGAAAAAAAATGCTAAAAAGATTTGTACTTACCAGAATATCTTTTCCAGCCCACTTGCACTCATCCCTTCGGGAATGAGATACAGGCCAAACAATCTAAAGACACAGAACAAAAATCACGTTGTGTTATTTCATGCTTCAATAATCACAAATTGCAGACCAAATGCTACAGAGTATCTTTACTCAGTTTCTCTTTTCTTCATTCTTTTCCCTATTTCCTTTTCTTTCATAAAATTTGACAACAAAGAAGTGAAATGATAGGAGCAAAATAGGAATAACAGGAATCACAATAAAAACAATCCTGAAATACAGTCTGTATTGTGAATCTCAGCGGTGATTCCTGAATACTAATGATAAGAGTGTTGACTCTCCATTAAGTGAGTGTTCTTTCACTACTTTAAATCTGATGTAATAGAATGGAAACTGAGAGCAAAAAATTGCAGATAAATTGGATCTATGTGAAATGCAATCTCACATTAGAGTTACAGCATCAGAAATGAGGTGTTTGCCTCTACAGTGTATCTACTAGTTCATTTTTACTAGGTTTAGTTAATTAAATAATAAAAAAGAAGCCATGGTATTCGAAAAGTATCACACGATCGAAATAAAAATGTTTATGCTGTTCCTATAAAGCTACCCTAACACAAGTAAACCTAGGTTTACTGTAGTGTTTGCTTAGCAGAAAATGGATCTCACCTCATACAGAGAAAATCCAGAGACCCTCACAGTCAATTATTCATGTTTTTTTGAAAAGCTTTTAGGAATTACATATAGAATAAAACATGATCTTCCCATAAAATGCCAGGCTATTCATTTGGGAGTCTCAGATAATGCAATATGAATGGCCATAAGTCTAGATTACAGCTTTGGTGTTCGATATAGTTTGTTAAAAGAAAATAAAAAGCAAAGTATTCAAAAAGAAAAGAATGAATATGGATGACAGAAGAGGTCGAAGAAGATGTTATATATGACATTTGAAAATACAGTTTGCAACCATGTTTTTAAATTCAAAATTTTCTTAAAACTTAATGAAATCCTAACAGCAATCGAACATCTTAAGTCTATAAAATAAGGCTGAAAATTTTATGAGCATATTCTCTCTCAAAGGATTCCTGCTACTTCCTGTTTCTATTCTCATCTTAAAATGTGCAGAGATATGTGAAAATTTAAATTTACTAGGTTGAAAAACATTAACCAAACTTCTGAGATCTCCCAAAAGGACCAGTTAAAGTTCAAGTTTTGGGCAAAGATTTCTATATTATTCAAAACAATATTCTAATCCATAAAATTAATGGCTAGATGTTCTTTTTCCTTGTTCTCACAGCACACTATTTTCTTCTAATTTGGGTTAAAAGTTAGCTAAATTAAACTGTTTTTAATAGACTAGAAAGTTTGGCTTTTTGAGTTGTGCTCCTTTGAAGTCATATGTTGCTATCAGCATTTAAAGAGAAACCTTAGCTCGTTTTCACATGTGGAAGCAACAACTGGTGAAGTTTGTGCTTAAGTGCAGCACTGGCTGCGTTGTAATTTTGATTGAGGTTTCTTCTGTGACCCTCCTGTCTTTAATAAGCAGACCCCCAAATTCTTTAAGCCTTTTGTCTGTTGTTAAATCTAAAGTTAAATTGTAAATGTGTTCTTTAAGTTTGTTGCCAACATTCAGTTCCATGTTATCATGGAACCATGTTATTAACAGCAATTCTTTATTTAATACAGTAATATTTGTAAATAATTTCAAATAGTATACTAAAGGTATCTGAATAGGTAAGTATGTAAAATACAGTTTCTCCCATTCTACAGCGGTATTTTCTGCAATGGAAACACCTTCTTTCCTTTAATTATTCCAGATGTTTTGCGCATTAAGCTCTCAGTCCCTCAGAGAATTCAAATAAATAGCTAGTTTCCTTTATAGCTGCTCTAAAGAGAATAGAAAAGAAAATACCCAGTTTTCCTTTTATCCTTTTTCCTTAGAGAATACAAATGAATAGCCTGTCTTCCCTCTGAACAGAAAACACAAGGTATTTATTGCTATCATCTTAGGAAGCTAATAGTCAAACGGGCAAAAGGTCAGGAACACCAAGAAAAAAGAATCCCTGGGTATTGAAGCAATATATCTCTCATAAAAGGGTACTTTCTGGATTTTAAAATAGACCATCAAAATATTTAATATAACAAATTGAACCTCCATCCCATTGTTTATCTTTTTAGCATTTTGTCTTACTAAAATAAATGAAAAATGAAATTATTTATTTAGAAGCCAACAAAAGAACATCACTGAACTGTTTGTCAGTTTTTAATTCATCACTAACTTTTACTGGAAAATTATACTCTCCATCAAGAATTGCAATATTTTATGGACCTATTCCTCTTTTACTAATACTGAATCTGTTTTGTTTTGAAAGCAGCAGAAGTAGAGTGTCTACAAGTGCCGGGCTAAAGAAGAGAAATCAGCACTTGGACTCCCAAACAGCTTCTTTTTATCTGCAAACTGATACACAGTAATAAGGTCTTTTTGGGTAAACTGTCATGATAGCTGTTTGGATTTTTCAGCAGTAAACATGAAAGTATGTCTTGTTTGGGAAATAACTGGATTATTCAGTTATCATTTACTTTTCCATAGTCTAAAAAAAGTATTGTAGATTATACAGTCATAGGTTACAGGCTCTTTATAAATTTCTTTTGATAGAGTCAAGAGATGCTTTTGTTGTAATAGTATTCTTGACATCCAAACACTTATTACATAATTCATACAGAGTCCAACAAAGTCTACGTAATAATAATTCTGCAACATTAAAAGTATATATTTACATTGTACAAAACACAAATGAAAGCACCTTTTGATATTCCTTGATGTTAACCAGGTTGAAAGAAAATATGTGATCCTTTGCTCCAACGTACAGTCGACTGCGCTCTTCATCCAAGAGGAAAGTATGGTAACTGGAGCTATTAGCTAGTCCATTGAAATTGATTATATTGTTGGATTCCAACATTTCTGTAAGATAAAGGTAATACTTTCATTGTTAAGACGGTCAAATAAAATACAGACTTATATTTTGACTTGTATGGATTTCATTTTAGTTCATACTTATGGAGTAGAAACCAGTGAAAACGTTATGTACCTGGGCCCATGAATGTTTTGATTTCAAGTACCCAAACCCAAACTGCTTGTGAGACTCAGCTCTACACAAAGAAAGGTCAAAACATCAGTGAAATCAATTAAAAGCCTGTATGAGGTTTTAGGCGGTAAAACTCTATCCATGCAACTTACCAACTGTTGGACAAAGTTCAATTTTGTTCAATCAATGAGATTTACAAGGATAAACCTGAGGATGACCAGCTGATAAAAAATACATCTAAACACAAAATCTCCTACTTCCAGCATACAAAATTATTTCATACAGATCTGTAAGTTATGAGAAAGGGGAAAAGAATGACTAGTTGACAAGACAAAATAACATGTAAAATCTATTCTTACATGTATTGTTATCTTCCCAGCTCAGTGACACAGGCAGTGTGTTGTTCCCTTGCTTGGAATTGTGTATTTATCCGTCAAAGAATAAAACTAGAGAAGGTAGTTTTGCTTCTGTTTAAACTCAAGAATAGTTTTCTAGTTCTCATACTCCTCACAGAGCCATTGCACTTGCCAAGGACAGGATTTGTTTTTAAGTACAAGGATCCACAGAATCCTCTTGGCTATTCACAAACATTAAGAAAGACATACACATTTTCCTGAAACTGTTTAAAAATATTTTTTCTGCAAGGTAATACAGACCATATTAGTATAAACTTTTGTGAAAACACTCTTTCTTTGTTCCTGTCTATCTACATTCATATTGGGACCAAAGCCAAACCATCTCTATCATTTCACGGCATGTCTGCACTAGTAAGTCATCAATAAGAAATTTTACTTGTAATGACAAATCCTACGCAGTTCAAGCCCTGACCTTGTCATGCACAGAGGCAAACATGCAGTTTTAGGAGCAGGAGTAGTTCCATCGATGTCAATGCAGCTCTTCACACAGCACCCATGAGGACAGATGAGAAAGGGAGCAAATACATCAGGATGCAAGGACCAATGGTTAGAAGGTAGGGCCGGACCACCAGGCATCTAACGTTTGTGTTAGCTCTGCTGTATGTGCAAGACAAGCACACGTGTTGCTCCTCTCAAAACAGCTGCCAAATGCCTAGATGTCTAGGGTTTGCCTAACGGTGCAGTTACGTGCTATGACTTTTCGGTTTTCAGTAAGATCACTCCCATTTTCCACCATTACTCCAACTGATGAGTGAATGTAAGATAGCATCCCCTATGCTGCTAAAAATCAGGGTGAAACTGCTGTTAAAACAGAAGCTTCTGCTTAATTTTATTTTTAAACTAATTTTCCTCCTTTTTTCCTCCTTCTTTTATTTTAGGTGAGGCTTTTTTGGACCTACATAACAATGGTTCTTATGATTTTACAGAATTTCAACATCTGCAGCGTAGTAGTCCCACAGATGTTAAGCCTATTTTTCACATTTACTTATACCAGGTGGATTTTGAAGCACGTTGACACTCTATAATGACAAGAATTAGTAGGCAACATATTCAAGGAAGATAAAGATAACACTAAGAGTTGCATACCATTCAGGCTAGCTTTGCTTCAGTATTCTTTGCATTTATTTGGAGAAACTCTCACTAGCACCAAAAAGAGTTAATTTGTGTAGCAGTGTAGCAAACTGTCAGAGCATGCACTATATTTTGTTCCTCATTCTACATTTTTTCTGGCTAAATATAACTATACACTTGTATTATAGAATACTTTTTAAAACTTGTACTCTTCAAGACTTAAGTTCTCTTTTTTTTTTTTTTTTTAATATAACAAGAAGAAATCAAATCACCCCAAGCAGTCATGTCAAAATAATTCTTCTGGCTTCCTGCCAAGTTCTAGAATTTGACTGTATTGTCCTCCGGTTCACTTATTTGCATTTTGTTAGAGACTTTACTAATTCTCTTTACATTGTAATGACTGATTCAGATGTTGAATGTCGACTCACTGAATAGAGAGTGATGCAGATGATTGATTGCTTAACTTGTCTTAGAACTCTCTTGGCTAGAAATGCTTTGCTGTCATCTGTATCTGATCATTTTTCTTATAATATAGTTGTCAAAAACCTTTGTAATTTTTTCATCTTTCTTGGTTTGAACTCGCATGGGTATGATTCTGCCCTTTGTCACTGCGGCATAAAGACAAGCGTCTGCTGAAGTCAATGTTACACAAATAAAACTGATATAAATGGAAATAGTATGAGTTAGGCACACAGCTACTTGGTTTAAAACAAGCCTGTTAGGAATTTGCTAATGTAGAGTTCTAAGTATTCACATCTACTGATGGTGATTGATGTTTTCTTTTCTTTCTAATATTCATGAAAAATGCCAGATCATAACATTGGAGTCTAAGGTTTATTACGGCCAAGAGTAAATTACGTCATCATCTTCACTTTTCATATGTCTCCACAGTACAACTTAAAAGGACCAGGTGTGGCTGTGCAGGGAAATATATAATTTTTTTTTTCTTTTCATTTTCTGTGACTCCTTAGAGTATGCAACAACGATAAAGGTAGCACTGGTGGGGTTTTTTGTGAACATGCAATTTAAAGCCAAACTAAAAGCTAAATGCCATTGCTTTCTCTAAGATCAGGACATTTCTCCTGGGTTTTAATCGAGTATCTGTCGCATTGTCCCATTATTGACTTTGCAGGAGATGACCAGATTGCCATGGTCTATTGTCCAAAAGATTAGACCTAAGCATATTCCATGCAACATATTTCAAAACATGTGAAATCAGGTTTCTCCCTATCAGGAATCAGGTTGAGAACACAGGTTGAGGAGAAAAATGTCATTTGGGTGCTGATGATTCTCATTCACTACTAATTTAGTTAAGATTGAGTTACATCACAACTAGGAGGTGAAAACCTAAATAATCTCTGTAGCTTATTCTAACTTACATGTATTCTCCCAGTGATGAATATGGCTTCATATGACATTTTGGAAAGGGCTGTTGAAGAGCAAAACAATGGCATTTGCACAATCAATACAAATTAAGTACTCCACTTCCTCAAATTCATTAGTTTCAAAGTGTTTGCCATCCAGTGTCTTTTCAGTATCCAGACAGTGACTATCGCTGAGAGAATGACAGAAACCGCAGTGACAGGGCACACTCCCAGAAGGGCACTGACATCCATCAGTCCTGTGAAGTGTCGATCAGTCATGCTGGCAAGGTACATGGCTGATCAGTACTAAAATAAACCAAGATTTACAACAAGGATTGCATTGCAATGACAAGAGGAAAATTCTGAATGCTTTCAATAAGCAAATGAAATTGATACTATCTACTATGCATACCCTAATTTTTTTCCATTTTTTGATGTTGTTGTTCTTATTATAGGTTGGCATATCCATGACCTATGCAGACAGGTAACGGTTGCCTGTACCAAAAGTAATTTTTTTAATTCCTCTATGCTTTGTTCAGTTATTTTTAGTGCAAAGATGTTAAAATTACTCCACCAGTTGTTGCAGGCAAGTACCATTACTTCAGTAATTGCTCAGAGAGCATTTCCTTATTTCCTTTTGACATATCCTCAGCTGTAGTCATGCCTGCTGTTTTGAACAGGAATGAATGAACCCTATAAATCTAATCACTGCACATTATGACTGTAGTATTGTCTATAAAATGCTGCATGAGGTAGATTTAGAGTTGGTGCTGATATTTTGAAGGTAATAAAGACTTCATTGCTTCTGTTATTGGTGCTTGCTTCCCACATTTATTAAGAGCATTGCAGCTGACCAAAACTAACAGTTTGAAATGCACCATTTGGCAGCTCATGGCCTGGACAGGAA